GGCTCCAACAGCCCGTGCCTGGCAGCTGCCGTGCTCACAGCTGCAAAGACAGCAAGGGACTTGTCACCTCATCTTGAAAGTGACTTCTACCATACTTAACCAAACTCTTCCCCTTGGAGTCGAAGACGGTAATGCCACACGGTAATGTCTCAGAACTAGCAGTCAGGTTCCGATGACTTTGCCACAGGCTGGCCTTAGTAACACTTCCTAACGAATCCTTCTCTGCTGTCTATAATGTAGTTATGATCCTCCCCCCACTATATTTTTAACTTATCATTTCTGTGCAAAGTATAGTAGTGTATGACTGTTGGGAGGCTGAATGCCAGCTTGGAATACTTAGCAAGACCCTGTCTCAAAAGAGGAAAAAAATAAGATTGTATGGTTCCCCACAAGTTCTGCCGTCAGCTTTCTCCTGAGACCAACATGTCTCAAAGCAGCAGCAACTTGGAAATGGTCATTTTGGCAGGCAGCTTGAGACTTGAAGGCTCCCCCAAGATTCCAAGGTACCCCACCCATCCTGGTCTCCTGGACCAAGAGATGCAGAGGCAACTCAATTTCAACAGAGCCACCACTGCCGCCCATCCAGTGTGGATACTGGCTGTTATACCTGTGAGTTTCTATTTGTGCGTGGGGTGTAAAACCATAGATAACTGAGAATAAAAAAAAAAAACATGTTGAGCTGGCGGGATGAATGGTTGCCTCCCTTCTCCATAAACTGTTGTCACCCAGCCCGTGCCAGCAGCCGATCGGGAACAGCAGCCCTGATCTCTCACCAACACAGGACCAGCCACTCACTCCCGAGATGGACAAACATAGGACCTGCAGACCGCATGCTATGGGCATACGTGCGCCACGTGGTCTCTCTGCTACGAGAGGCACACACCAAAGTACCTTTCTAACACGCCAGCCTCCCTTGGCAAAGCCATCATTCCTTATAACTATGTGGCCATACCCGGAGCTAGAACTTCCTCACATAAAACCTGTACCACAGCACAGGACAAAAATCTGCCGCTGTGTGCTCCAGAACCAAGCACAGACAGACGTGGCTGAGGAAAGACTCAGGCAGCCGACGCTTTTGGTCGTCAGAGGAGCCTTGTTCGTAACAGCCCACAAACACACTGCACAGAGGTTCAGGAAGAAAGTTGCTGTCTTATCCACAGACAGCCGGCGGCTATTGAGTTATTTCTCAAATAACGCCTGTCACTGGTGGCAGGGAGGCTTGCAGGATCCAAGGGTGACCAAGTGTCCCATGGCCTTCCTCGGAGCTCCACGCCGCTGACCTGCTGCTGGCTGGAGAGTAAGGCTAAGGCAGAGATCTCCCCCAGTAAATAAACGTGTGTGTGTGTGTGTGTGTGTGTGTGTGTGTGTGTGTGTGTGTGTGTGTTTACGGAGGATCCAGTGCAGGTCCATTTGCAAGTTTCCATTTGTTGCATATCAATCTGATCTCCTCATCCATAAAACTCGGACAGAAATGCACAAATCACATAGGTCCCGGGAGAGAGAATGAATCAAATCGAGAATAGCAGCCAAGGGGAAACAAGCCAATGCCCACCTGTTTCCACATATGCAAAGACTCAACAGCGCATGGGGTGGGCTGGAGAACACGCATGTGCGCTGCCGTGTGAGACTGCGAGTAAACCATATGAGTCTGCACATAAGGTGTATAAATGTGTGAGTGTGGATTAGTGTGAATATATACGCATGTGTGCATGCATATATGTATGTATCTGTGGGCGTGTCTGTGAGCTGCGTGAACACGCAATGTAAGGTACCGTGCATGTACGTGAACAGCGGGAGGATGCACGGGAGGTAGTGTGGACAGGCTGATACGATGTGTGTCAGCTGTGTGCGTGTATATGAAAAGTGTGAGCGTGCGTATGAGCCGTGTGAGTGTGTGCAGGAGTTAGCATGCATATGGGTTATTATGTGCGTGCGAGTTGCATGTGCATGCATGTGAGGCAGGAGGTTGATGCGGACGCTGTGTAAAGTATGTGCGCACGTGTGTAGCAGGCAAGGTGGTTGTGTGTGGGGATTAACTAACGCATGTGTGTGTGAGCTCCATGGGGTGGTGTGTATGCCAGGTGGTGTACGTGTTGTATAAGCACATGCGTAAGCTATGTGTGTGTTGAGCAGTCCATGTGTAGCTTAGTGTGCCCGTATTGTGAATGTGTGTGTGAGCACAGGAGTGTGTGGTGAGGTGCCTTGAGTGTGGCTTACAGTAGGCACACTGTGTGTGAGTGTGAGGGTGAGGTAGTCTTTGTACAGCGGCTCCCTTACCTACTGCAGATGACATCTCCCAGTGCCCTCAATGGACGCCCCAGCCAGGGACAGTGCAGAACCATGGTGCACAGTGTGCTGTGTTACTACCATAGATCTTAGCAACCTCAGCATACGATATTTTCCTTCCTTATTAAATTAAGAACTTTCAGCGTTTCGCTCGAAGGAAGCGTTTTTATAGCTTTTCTTTGACACATCTAAATTGCCAGCACTGTGCCTTGGGGCCGTTATTAAGTAAAATAAGGCTTACTTGAATGCAAGTACTAGATATTAACTGAAACAGCTAAGTGCCCGACAGAGTGTAGCATATGCCGGTTGGATACAGTGGACAGAGGGCTGAACCATATCCAATACAAGGTAGGATGGCATGAGTCCATCACATCCCCCCCCCCAGATGTGTAATTTTAAACTGACAAAAATTGTCTTTTTTTATTTCCGAATTCACGACTTAGTGTCTCTGGCCTGCGGTTTGCTGCAGACACCGAATCACAGAAAGTAAGGCCACGGACACATGTATGCGAAATGACAACACGTCTGCATCATTTTTAATAAACCTAGGGGATGCCACGCCAGGTACCAACCAGGTGAAAGACCACTGCAGGCCACGGTGTCACTGGCCAGACGCTCAGGGGATGAGGGAGTGGTTGCAGGTGGAGCCCCATTTCCAGCTGGCAGGGGCTCTCACGTGGACATGGCTGTCCCGGGTCTCTCTCCTGTTTGGACCAGGTCTCTGCGACAAAAGGAGCCAACCTGCTCCATCTGAGGCAGAGATAGTGGAGGCCTCACTGAGAGACATACAGTGGTCGAACGGACGGGGCAGACCACCAGGTAGAGGGCAGTGGGCATTAATCCCGACTGCCTGGGCTGACACCCTCAACAAAGGATAGGAAGTAAGGTCAGGCTGAGTGTTGCCCCAACAGGACTTGGTCATGGAGAAGACAAGAGAGAACTGTGGCCATGTTTGGATAGCAGGTGAGGGTGGTCTTCATCCACAGCCATCAGTCACCCAAAGGAACGAGTCACTTCCTCGTGAAGTGAGGCGTCCTGTGCTCCCCATGAGTCTTTTGAAGTGGCTTATTAAGATAACGGTAAGAAGCAGTCTTTCTCTAAAGATTCATCTTTTTAAATATTCAAAAGGCCACTGGCTGTGAGGGCACAGAAACAGGTGATGAGGCCGTAGAATTTTTGGGCCAGTCATAAGTGGAAAAAAATAGCTTTAAAATATTCAATTAGGTTTTGGAAAGGTGAATCTAAACAGGAATTTCAGAATGACTGAGCCGTGTTGAAGGAGGGTGTGACCTACCACAGATGATCGTGGATGGGCTGTGAAGATGTCCCCCAGTGCTTAACAGGGTCCCTGGGGCCCTGTGTTAATGTGAGCTGCGCCTCCCAAAACACCATCAAGTCATGTTTATCCCTAGAGAAAAGCTGATGGAGTTTTAGCAGTATTATCCAACTCACTGTTACTTCAAGTAACTTTGTGGGTTTTTTTCCCCTCCCAACAGAGTTTTGAGTTGCTGTCACTAAATTTTTTCAAAGTGACAGCTAAGCCTGAGACTTTTTTCATTTCTGTCAGGGAAGCACCCAGCTGCCACCACCACCCCTGAATTTTTTATTCTCACTCGATCTGAATATTTGTAAACTTACCTGCCACACGGTATCAGAGGACCCACTTTCACCACTGACTCCTCTGTAGACCCCCCACAGGAAGGAGAGCTTGCTGGGCCCAATCAACTGGAGCCTGTTTCCCTCCATTGAAACACACGTATCCATCTCTCTGAAAGAATGTATGAACACCGCACTGCAGAATTGCATAACTGTGAAACAAACATATTTTCCTCAGTTGCTGTTCTACTTCTAATTCCAAAGCAGCTCAAGGAAGGAGCTGTTTCCAAACAATTACAAGGGGGCCTGTGGTCCATACCTAACAAGACACATGAAGGAGAAAAGTTTAACAGAGAAAAATAAAGTAGAGATGCCCTGTAAATTCTCTCCAGAGGCTCTTGCTTCCTTTCCCTGGAACACAGTCGTACCACTTAGCCATTTCCAAAAAAAAAAAAAAAAAAAAAAAAGTTAGATTCCCGTTCCTGTGGTAATGTGCCTGCAGAGAGGTTCAGTCAAAGGAGTTTTAGTCTAAATTTGTGAGGAATAAAGGTCTAGTTGTGAACACACTATAGACGCGCTATCCTGAATACCAAACGTTATTAAATGTGCATTTACAGCGTCACTTGTGAATAATAAATGGCTAGATCTTCCCAATCAGGGAGACAATCAGTCATCCATCTTGCGGACTCTCTGGAATCTGAGAATAAAACCAGATGAACCTCCAGGGACGCCATCCCCACTTGTAAATGACTGCCCCAGGAGCACACACATCCCTAGGCACACTGCTTTTAATGGGCAAAACTAATAATGGCAACAACAAGGGCCTGGAGCTCCTCTTGTCCTTTGAATAATAATCTCGAAGTTTCTGCAAGGAAAACACTCTGCAAAATCACCACGCATCTGCTAACCAACCCATCAGCCATGAGTTTCTGCTGAGACACACTGCTTATTTAAATAATTTTTACACTCATTTGTTTGGGGGGTGGGCAGGGAAAAGGTGAATGTATGCATGCCACACCACACGTAGTCCTTTTTTACTTTTATTTATTTATTTTCAATTTTTAAGGACACAGCTTCTTGTAACTATGTGAAATGCTACTAAGGAAACACAGACCTTATTTCATAGTGCAGACCTTATTTTATTTTTTCCATGCTGATCAAAGAATTTTTTTGTTTCCCCCTAAATTCAAGTAAGACATTTGAGTGAACGATTTCAGAATGTCTCGGCTCCTCCTGGTTTTAAAACGAGGTCACACTGCCCCAAGAGCCACACCTGATAGCCGCTCAAATAGCAAAGCAGGACCCAGTCATCCACTCCCAGGAGACTCCTGTTCTTGAACTGACTGCAACATTATGGGGTGAAGTTTGCTCACAGTCAGCAAAGCCCGGTGACTGGCCCTTGTGGCAACCCTTGGGCTGATCTGCTGATCTCCCAAAGATGGCCCTTGAAAAGCAAAAACAAACACAAAACCCTCACCAACAAGGGATGAAGGGGCCAGGTGGTGGCCCATGCCTTTAATCCCAGCACCAGCACTCGGGAGGCAGAGGCAGGCGGATCTCTACGAGTTCCAGGACAGGCTCCAAAACAATATAGAGAAACCCTGTCTCAAAAAAAAAAAAAAAAAAAAAGAAAGAAAGAAAGAAAGAAAAAGAAAAAACAAACAAACAAAAAAACCAAGGGGTGAAGGTAAAAGTTCCCAAGCTGAGCCCAGAGGATACCAAACCACCATAACTCCCTGGGAAGCCGACCCAGACAGACATTCTGCTTGCCAAAAAAAAATAAATAAGAATAAATAAATAAACACCTCTTTCGTAGATATGAGAAAAGTGCTACCAAAAAAAGTCATAATTAAAACTCTGGTTCCACTTCTAATTGATAATTGAAAATCATTTTATAAACAGATTCCTAACACAGGCATGTTAAATACTACACATGTGAGATATAATTGTAAATTAGATGTAATTGTAAAATTGTAAATTAAAACACACACACACACACACAATTGGTTTAGCTTCCTGAAATGAACCACTTTTAAAAATCATAGTCTACTTTCACACTAGTTAAACTTCCTGAGACAGCGGTTTTGCTTTTTTGCCTTGCCACAAATGTGTGTTCCATAACAGCCTTTTGCTATTTTGCTTAAGAACTACATTTTCTTTAATAAGTCCGTGTGCTGGAAAGTGACTGTAATCACTTGGCTGAGTTCTCTACAAGGCTACTCTGGTTCCTGAACTGAAAATGAGATTCTTATAACAGCAAGTGAGCTTCACACATGAAAAATGTAAAATTCACTTTAAGCGTTGAAGAATTAGCAGAGACCAACAAATCACTTTAAACTATATTTGGGAATTTTTGCAGGTTTAGGGAGTTTTACGTATGATAGATTTTTTTCTTATTTATTCACCAGCCAACCATTCCAAACTTCTATATAAATAACATACCTGTGTGTCATCTATAAATGATTCCAAGTAATAGGTCTCATGCATATTTTGTGTTGCTCACATTTTTGTAGAGATGGTACTGAAGCCACCTATAATGAAGTGTGTTATGAAAAGAGACCTAAGCTTCTGTGATTTAGAAAAACATAATATCACTGTCCTCCTTGAGTGTTGCATGAATTGCCGTTGTTGAGAAACTTTTATAAGGGGCTTTCCCTGCCCTGAAAATAAGAATTCAAAAGGAAGGTGGGGGGCTTATCAGTTTCTAGGGGGAAAGTGTCCACACAGGAAGTACAAACTCTTCCCTTAACCCCATGACAGCAAGTTTGTGGAGCTGCTCCATGTCCTCCGCGGCCAGAATGTGACTCAGGGCCCGGTTATCCTGGGCAACCTTAGCAAGAGGCATGAGAAACGCTGAGGGTCGCCGGTGAGAAAATACACTTTTCTAGATAGAAACAACTACTTGGTGGCTTTAAGGCCGCTTCATTATTGAAAAGATGGCCAAAATACAACTTATGGTACCCTGGTGGTCATGCTTTCTGAAAGCACGGGCAAAGACAAGTGGGCCATTGGATTCCGATTAAATCCCGAAGCTTGGTGCTCAGACATGGCAGGAGCCCTTTGGGGACACTGGGAAACTAAAGTAAAACAAACGCCTCTACTTACAGATTTCCATGTCTCTTGATGCTTGTGGAAGACCAAGCTGGCTAGCTGCAGGGGCAGCGAGCGAGCTGCTCTGGCTTGCATCTGCCCTGGTCCCTGGCCTTCTCCAGCCGGCGGCGTTCATCCGAATTGACCGCGCGCGCGGGGGGTCCGTGCCAGTTGGAGCAGAGTGGCTGTATCCCACACCTGCTTGTGGCTCGGGACCAGGGACCACGGAAGGCGAGAAAAGCAAGTAGGATGTGACAGGAGGGTGACACCGCCGAGTCGCGTCTTGGGATGTGCCAGGCGCCTCGTGGCCTTTAGGATCCTCTAAGGGCACCACCACACCCCACTCCGTTCGCGAGGCTGGCTCTGGGGCTGGAGCAGACTGGGCCGCGAACTCCCTGAGGCTGTACGGGCGTGCGGGCGGGCGAGCGGGCGTTCCTTTCTGCCCCAGCCTGGCGCCCCCATCCCCCACCCCGCCCGACTCCGCTGCCCCTCCCAGATCTCGGGGAAGGGCGCCTATTGCCAGCGCCTGGCACTGGGTTGTCAGCCCCCCCCCCGCGTGTTCCCCGTGGAGCCTCCATGCGGAAGGCCAGGTACCTTGGCATCTCAGAGGGTGAGCGTGGGACACGGCGTGTCCTCGCAATGTTGCTGAGTGATGGATAAAAGGGTATACCCGGCCGCGGCACCTGGGAGGCTGAACCTCTCATCATAGAGAGGAAGTCTGCATTCCCGGTCCCAGTATTCTGTGATCCATTCTCCAAGTCCTGTGGCGGGGGAGGGGGGGGATTTGGGGAGGGGGCGGGGAAGCAGGAGAAAGAGAGGGAAGAAAGGAGAAAGAGAGCGGGAGGAGGAGGAGGAGTGCTAGCATGCAGGCCGTTGCTATGGAGAGGCCCGGTTGCCTGAGAGGCTGAGGGCTGCAGGTCCCCTCCCCCGGGCCTAGCTCTGACTCCGTGTCCCCGGTCTTGCTGTTCTCTCTACTCTCTGTGCCAGCCCACGGGACAACTCCTTCCATTCCTCTCTCCTTGTCAGCCCAAGGCTGAACCAGAGGTTGCTTTGGAGGCCTATTGGGGACTCAAGGCACCAGGCGCTCCAGTAGATTGAGGCCCGAGGGTGACAGCAGGGTTTAGAAGAGCCACCACCGGGGCCATCCTGGTCTTTTGCCATGATAGGCCCGTAGCCAACTGGCCTCGGTGTACTGCTGAGCCCCGGGCCTGCTGTGGAGGAGCAGAGGGGAACCGCTCGGAGAGGATCACCATGCAGCCACCGAGTTTGAAGGGTGTCTGCAGGGCCTATCCTCTGGCATAGGGGCACTCCTAACGCAACTGATTGACTCCTCCCCACCAACTGTGTCATAGGAGGAGTCACTATTGGGAGAAGCCCGGTTTCTGTTCTTTGCCACCACCACCACCACCACCCGCCCCAAACTCATCTTCCCCATGGAATCACCAGCTGCCTCTTGCAACCTACTCAGATCCACAGAGTAGGGGCGGGTTATACAGCCACCGCAGGCCTCTGGGGCTCCCTCCGTCAGCCCGTGTAAATTAAAACTAACCAAACAAAAGAGTTTAAGCCAAGACCCAGAGGAAGTCGTCCCTGGGAAGCAGCGTCGACTGAAGCAGTCAGTCACTGGGTAGCACTGAGAGCCCTCTTTTTGCAGAAACCCAGCCCTCGCCTGGCTGCGGGAGCAACCTCGCTTTGCACTAGGCAGACCTGGGGCCTCTCCCGGGTGGATGAAAAGACAGGGAGCTCTCCGCGTTTCCCAGCCTGGCCTGCAAGTGGATTTGTCCAAGGACCCAGGAGTAGGCTCTGCGGCCTCCGGGTGTGCGGAGGGGTGGGGGTGGGGGTGTTGGGTTGTGCAGGCCCTCGTCTCGTCTCCAGCTGTCCCAAGTGCAGGGAACAATGGGAAAGCAGCAGGAGAAGAGATGGGGGAGGGCGTCGGGGTTTCCAGAAAAAGAGGAACTAAAGAGCCCTCCTCAGACTGTCATCTGCGTATGACAGGATCTGCTCCCCCACACTTTCCTTTCTTCCCCTTGTTCCTGCAGCTGTGGGCCTTGAAGAGCGCATTGTACGCACAGATGTTGGGTTTCAACTCTCCAGCTCCCGGCCGCTCCGTGGGGGCGCAGCGCACCAGGGTGCCCAACCTGTGGCAGCGCCCCTGGGGCGAGCAAGGGTTAAGGAGGGAGAGTGTGGGAAGGAAGAGCCCCGGAACACGACGTTGTAGTAGAGTCCAAACCCGGGGTGGGGGCAGGGGGGCTCTGGAGAGCTCTTGGATGGCACCAGCCCACTCAACTCCCGCCTTAGGTCTTAGCTGGGGGTGGGTCAAGTAATTGGGGAGTAGTTGGGGACTGGAAAAGTAGTCCCGTGTTCTACCCACCTACATCCAGGGCGGTCATTTAGAGTGAGGAGAAGAGTGTACGGATGCAAGCGAAATTGCTAGGGTTTTTTGTTTGTTTGTTTGTTTTGTTTTGTTTTTCCTGCTCAATCCAGCATGTTGGGCTAGCAGCCCCGCAATTGGCCTGGACCAAATGGTGACAAAGTCTCATTAGTACCTTCCTTTGAGCAGCTGGGTCTTAGAAACCGGGGCTCCTGTACGGTGTGTGTGAGTGGGGGGGTTGTCTCCTAAGTAATTAATATGCTTCTATTTGGAAAGGGGAGAAAGGGCCCGGTTTACCGTAATTTATTTTTCTCTTGGAGGGTTTTTACGCAGCACTCCCCCTGCCATAAGCAAAGGTCACAGTAGAGCTATGAGGGGTGACTTTTCTAGCCGAGGCCTCATTCCCTCACCCTAGTGCTACTCAGGACTTGTTCAGAACGAAGTGCAACTTAGGAATGAAAGAAAAGAATATAAGAAAGAACCAGCGAAGGCCCTGGCTTCGGCGCTGTTCCAATGACTGACAAAGCTTATGTCCATTCATAGTCTCGGGCGGATGAGGGTGTATGGAGAGCCACGGCCCCTTAGCCAATTGCTGTCAGCAACATGTGGGGTGGGGGGGACGACATCGCTATAGCAACCGGTGGCTGGGCCGCGAGCCGCGCCGCCGCCGGCCGGGTGCGCGCGGGGCCGGATATAAGGCGGGGCGCTGCGGCCGCGCTGGTTGGAGCTGCGCGCGCGGCCGGCCGCCCTGCGGGGACCGTCCCAAGCCGGGCCCAGCACCCGCCCACGCAACGTCGGGACCCGGTGCGCCTAGCCAGGGGGCCGGGCTGGGGCGGAGCACGCCCGTCCGCGCTGAGAGGCCTCGCAGAACTGCCTGTACCCGCTGGCTCCGAACGGGAGCCACCACCGCGCCCGTCGCTGCTAGGACGCGCGGCACCTTTGTCTCCACCCGCCGCCTGAGAAGTTTGTGGTCAGAAGCAGGATGGCCCCGGTCGTCAGTGGCTCCAACGCAGAGAAGCGGTTGGTTGTGGTGATGGCGCTACTGTTGCCAGCGGCCGGGGCAGCTGTGCTCCGAAACCGCTTGGCCGGGCGCACACCCCCACCTCCTCCTGCTCTCTTGGGCACCCAGCGTCCGCCTAGCTGCAGGTAACCAGGAACTGCCAACCCTGGCGTGGGCACTGAGAGGGGTGGTCGGTTGGCTCTGGCAAAGGAGAGAGGAGTCGGGTGGGGCTGAAGGGATCAAGAATGGATACCCCCAGGGCATCACCAAGTGCGGTGGTGACAAGGCTCGGAACAGAACCTCCCAAGGGTTGACGGTGTGTTTCTGGGGCTCAGATGTACGACCTGGGTGTCTTGCCCAGTTCAGCGGGTAACCGGCCTGCCGCAGGACACCTGTTTTCAAAGGTTTGGCCAACCAGAAAGACCTGCGTTTGGAATAATCTCCAAGTGGGTATGAGACAGAGAGCCCACCAGGGCAGGTCTTCCTGAGCGCTCAGACTAGAAGGGAGACACAGAAGTCCTGAGTCTGTACCTTCAGGAGACTTCGCTGGGGGAGAATAGGACTGTGGTCTCGTAGGACTCCTCCCCTCATATAATCCTCTCGGCTTGTCACAAGGCTGGCTCTCTGGAAAATTCAGAACTTGGAAAAAAACAGTCTCGAGGATGAGAGGCGGTGAGGACGCAGAGACGGAGATGGGTATGGTGATGAAAGGGAGGGTGGATGAAGTCAGATGAGCAGCTAGCATAGAGGGACCAGTGTGTGTGTATGTGGGGGGTCTTCTGACCACCTTTTGGGAATCTCTTTGCTCTCCTCTCTGAGGTTCTGGGGTGTGCCTCTGTGCCATCCGGGCATCCCAGCTGTTAGCGAGTTAGGAGGACCAAGTGGGCCCGGGGCGGAGCGTTAGTGAGGCAGGTGGAGCGACCCAGGAGAGTGCGGAGTCCTGGGACCTGCACCTCCAGCCTCGAGCTTCCAACTCCCCTCCCCCAAAGGGAACCTGCGTTTTTCTCTACCTCCTATCCATCAAACCCCCACTCCCCCCCACACACACGCCAGGTGGGGCGGTCGCGCACTCGCCAGAGAAACTTCTGACTCAGAGCTGTTTGAACAAGGGCTTAGTTCCTTCATTTCTGACTACCGGTTTGGCTCCGAAAACCCGCCTGATCTGCCTGATCTGCTTCCCCAGACAGCTGTGTAGACCCCCAGATCAGCAACATTGACTTTTTAAGTCCTCTTGCGTCTTCGTTGCACTGATCCCGCGACGGCGCTCCAGGCCGGAATGCTTGAAAGAAAAGGAGTCAGTATCGGGGTCGCCAGGGCCCTCCCTGTACGCAGCAGACCTAGCTGTGCGCTGCAGTTCACCTGTCGAGCCCGCTCTGGGTGCCTCTACCCGCCCGGGTCCTTTTCCCGCCCAACAGCCTTCCTTCCCAGTCTGGAGTCAAGGGCTTAGTGTTCCCAGAGGTTTTCAGTTTTTAGGGATCAAGCAATTGTGAGGGAGCGGAGAAAGGAGGTGAAAGCTCTTTACTGCCCACCCACACAGGAGGAAATGCCCACGAGCCCCCAGTCTATGTGCCCGGCTGGGCTCCCGAGAGCGCCTTGGCCCGGGTAGAGAGCGCAGGCGGAGGTGTGCTGTGGTGGCTGCGGCGGCGGCGGGGCCGGCGGTGGCCGGGTTGGTGTTAAGCTCTGGGTAGCCTTGGTTGGGTAGGGTCGTTGTTGGGGACGTTAATGCTTCTCTCTCGGCTGGTCGGCCTGCGTGCTTTGTGGCCCGGGAGGCTGGGCAGCCCGCATTGTCCCTGCGAGCACCCTCTCAGGGCTGTGAATAGCCGAAGCTCCTAGGAACCCTCGACCTTTTGTGTCCTGCGCTATGGTCTGATCTCCACGACCTCTGCGGGGATCTTGAGAATTAGTGAGGGGGGAAGGGACCGGGAAACCGGGGTGACAAAGCCCAGGCTGGTGTGGGTCAGACTCCCGGTGTGGGGGAGGGGTCTGGTGACTGTGGCCATCAGCTTCCCTAGACCCGGTGCTCGGACTCTTCTCAACCACCTGGCCCTGAGCCTCAGCCTCAGCCAAGGCCTTTCTGGTCTGCAGAGAGCGGGAGAATTTAAAAAAAAAAAGGGGGGGTGGGCCGAGTAAGGGATGGAACTGAACAGTAAGGCCAAATGTCTTCCTTCAATAGCAGAGAACGTTACCCTAGGAAACTCCTGACAGTGAGGGTGAAAGCTTGCATGTTGGCCAAGCCAGGTCTCGGGCACCAAACAGGCCAAAACACCGGCCTGTGAGTGTGCTGAGGGTGCCCGCCGAGTTTGAGTTGTGGTGTAATGAAAACACAGCCAGTGGGTTGGAAAAATGCGAGCGGGCAGGTTTCCTCTTTGGACAGATTCATTTTGGCCTGTTCTCCGCTGGCTGGCTGGCTCGCTCTTCCACTCCGGGACGATTTGTGTGCTTAAAAATGAGTTCGCACGACTGTCTCTCCTTCCTTTCAACACCAATATCATGAATCTTTCCTTATCTTAGAACGGAACACTTCCCTCCCTCAGAACAGCTATTTTAGGAATACTTCAAGATAGCAAATAAGTTATTATCTTTTGTATATTCATTTACGTGTACACCTGAAAAACTCAACAAACAGCCGATTTTTAAAACGCACAAAACTTATTTCCATTAAAGTTTATGTTTAAGAATAATCATTTCTTGGAGATTCTTTTGCCCATATAAGCCTTTTTTTTTTTTTTGGCTGTTTGAATGGCAGATTTGCAAGTACAATTTCATCAGGAGAGGGGAACAATAGCTTTCAGCTGCACAAAGGCCCTCTCCCACCCCGAATTCAGGCCGCAATGCCTCTTGCTCTGATAATAGCTTCTGAAAAGATTTTGTAATGCAGAGAATTAATACATGATTATTTCCGCCTGACTTCTCTCATTTATTAGAATTCTGTGGCAAATTCCAAATTAAAAATAGTTCAGTTAACAGCTTTAAAAAATACTTTTTAAAATATTTCAAGACACCTTCTCCCCTCACCATTTTTAAGTTTGACCGGGCCCGTTTGTCTGGGCTGGCTTGGGAAATGCTTCACTGAAAACTGTGACCGGTTTTTAAAGTGATAGCAACTATATTTTAATAAGTGTATCTGAGTACATTTAGAAAGAAATTTCCAAATAATTCCCTAAGATGCTCATCTTGCCAGCTAAAGACAAAGTTGTTATAGTAGCCCATTAATAGTCTCTGAGACTATTTCCTGTTTCACAGGGGGAAAGGTTTTGCAGTTATAATAACCTGGGTCCCCAAAGAGAGGGGGATGTGCCCCCTTCATCTCATCTTTAGTGAAGGCCTTTGCAAACCAAAATGTGTGTGTGTGTGTGTGTGTGTGTGTGTGTGTGTGTAGGGGGTGTGCTAATCCAGGGTGGATCAAGGTTGCAAAACAAATTCCTTAGAAATGGTACAAACAAGTGCATCAACAACAGAAATTTATTATTAACAAAACTGAATGCTTATACCCATAACTTTTTTTTTGTAAGAGCAGATTTTAAACTGTAAGACGGAGACTTAAGACAGGTTCTTGTTGATTGAATGAGCTGTATCACACAGCCTTGAGAAAACATCTTGTCTCGGTGGTACCCTATCTACAAATATTCACCATCAAGTTCTGTATTGGTGCGGTTTAGCACTCACAAACTGACCCTAGGTATAGAACCCCAACGCTTATCACACAGCGTCGTTAAAAGTTATAAGGGTGCTGTCATGGATGTCTCAGGAGGCATGTCACCGGAACCCCCTTCCCCCCTGTGAGCCTGCCTTTCAGAGGTGGGGACGCTGAACTCAGCCAAGGTCCGGAGATCAGCTCCATAATAATCGACTCTCCTGGTCCCCATGCTGACTTTACCTTACAGAGTTTGCAACGTCCTGTGTTCTCAATTTGAGGAGCTGCAAGTGAAGACAGCAGCAAGACATGCTTGGAGGCTGCAGTTCATGCAAGCTGCCTCTGAACTGATGCAACCTGGACTTGATTTAAAAAAAAAAAAAGTCTGTCCTATTCCCAGCTGCTTGAGAACTTGGTAGGGAGTGCTGGCAAGTGTGCCTCCTGCATCCTGGATGCACAGATTACCCCACCCCCCAGTCCTGCACCTCAAGCACCCTGCTTCTCAGAACGCCTCTTTCCACCACCCTCCTCAGCACTGCTCCAAACTTTCAGAAAGCACTTCCACTGTGCAGAAGGTGTTCTGCTTCTAAAAGACATCTGACTGTAAATGTCAAAGTTATAAATATTTAAACATCATTTTCTTTCAATTTCAAGTCCAGACCGATAAGATGACTCTAATTAGTCGGGACTGTCGTCCGGGAGGCCCAGGAAAGCAGCCTGTGGCCCATACCAAGCTGCTCACCCTTGGGGAGTCACCACTCTGAGAGTGTCTGGGGACTCTCTGGGCTGCACCTGGATCAGCGCAGGTGTAGACTCCAGGAGGTTGGCTTCTTTCCCCGGAGGCTCCTGGTTTACAAGCATTTTTAAATTTGAGATTGTTTTAACTCCATAAAAAGGAAATATGAAGTCATATTAACTCAGTCGTTGTGCCTAGGAGAGGACGGTCAGCTGACATTTAAAACAATTTCTAGAAATTTTTGTTTCTCCCGAGATTCTTAAGTCCTGACCTACTGCTTGCAATTCTCCCCAAGCCGGCCTCAGCCCCCTAGGGAAGGGTGTTTGGAGCTATTGTCAGGAAGAGAATGCCTAAGAGAGAGAAGCCATCAGTCACTTGAAATCCAGACCCCAATATTACATATTGACTCGAAGGGGGTCCCTAGGTCTCCCCCTGCCTTACACTCTCTGTCTGAGGTCTCTTCCCTTCAATCTGCACTCTGCCTACTTCCCAGAGTGCTTTTCCATCCAGGCCCTGGAGCCCACAGCTTCAGTTCTGGGTGCCTCCAAGACTGGCACCTCACAGGCCCTTCTCTAGTGTGGGGAGCCTGCTCTCAGGTGGGCTAGGGGATCTGGAGGCAGCTCTGCAGCTGTCACTAACTGTGGGCAGCAGCCACTCTCCTGATGGGGGTGGGAGAGTGGGGGTAGAGGAGGATGGAGATTGGAATAACCTGATAAGACACCTCAGTGGAAGTTGGGGTTGGGGCTCCTGTAAAGTTGGGCTCGGTGGTCCTCTCCCCTTCAGTTCCTCCTCCACAGGGGCCCAGTGAGAATAATGATGTCTCTGCTCTAGCCTTGACACATTGGTTTGGTCCTGAGAATAAATCCCAGTGCCCCAAGGTAGAGGCAGGCAGGAGGAGGCAAGGCAACAACTGGTTTAAAGTAAAACGGAGGAGGAGGAGGAGGAGGAGGAGGAGGAGGAGGAGGAGGAGGAGGAGGAGGAGGAGGAGGAAGCCCACCTCCCTGGGATTCCTCTTCCAGCGAGGTAGACCCAGGTTTTTCACTGGGTCTGGTTGCCCCACGGGCTGGAGCCAAGTTCAGTTATGGGAGCCTCATCACCTGCCTCTTCTTGTGGCTTCAATATGCCCAGTACCTTCCACCGGGTACTGCTGTCATCCTGACTGCATTTGTGCTCCTAGGCTGAGTCTTTGACCTCCTGGTGCCGAGAGCCCTGATGGTTCCCAGCTCCGTGGAACCACTGGTCCAATGTCCCAATGCAGGGGCATACTGATGGTCTCTGCCGTATACTAAGACCCAGCACGGCTGGTGGCATAATGCTGTCTGATTACCTGAAGGCAGAAGGTTAGGGAGGTCCTAGTTCCAGTGCCAAATAATGTGCAGGTCGACCCAAAGCCGAGACTGGGACCTTGGCTCAGGGTCCCCTTCCAACAGCTCCGGGGGAGGGGGTGGGGTGCAAACCTGCACAATCATCCATCCAGCCACTGCCTTTGTTGTGGTCTGCTGAGAAGAGGAGAGACAGGCAAAGGGCAGGAAAGAGGCCGCTGGTGGAAGAGACGCGACCATCTCCCGTCCAGGCATGCCTGGGTCTGCACTGAAACTGGGGAGTGTACCGCCGCCCAGTTTAGTTCTCTAGTCGTGCCAGGGCTCACTGGCCAGGAACTTTACAGGCAAGTCTTTGCACTTGTACGAACCACAGCCTGCTGCTTGTCGTGTGAGAAGGGCGGCCTCACCGGCTGCAGGGCCGCGGAGACGCTGGGCTGGCCGAAAGGATTTGTCTGTGTGGTTTGGGTCCCCGCGGGCGATCGGCAAAGAAGCACAGCTTGGGAACTGGGAAGGGGACCTGGACTTCGCTGTCTTGGGGGGAGGGGCGGGCGACTCTCCGCTTCTTTCTAGAAGCCCCTGTGTGGGCTGGGTGGGAGTGGAAGGGGGCGGGGACCTGGGAGGAAGCCAGGAGAAGAGTGGTAAGAGTCCCACTGCTTTCTCCAAGTGCAGGGCCCCCCCTGTGTGCCTCTGGCCCGCAGCAGCCTGGGGGTTCCAGCCACTCAGGCTTTGGTGAAGTGTCCAGGTCTGTGCTCCCGGTCTCCTGATCCCTGCCCCACGGTTCCCTCTGCTAGGTCTTGGAGCACCCTCCGTTCCATCCTTTACTGCAGCCTAGGAACCTCCCGGGGTCCAGAGCCAAGCAGAACCAAGCCGCCGCGCTGGCGCGCGCGCACACACACATCTAGGCAGGAAATCCCGGTGTCTTTTCTCATTTAACCCGCGTTTCCATTAACTCGGTCCCGGCTCCCACTAATCCGCGCTCACCGAAGGCAAAAGCAGGCTAATTAATGACCAGCTTTTCCAGTCAAGACCGGCGATAATTGCTTTGGTGGCCTTTATGATTACAAGATAAAAATGGGCCCGGGCTGACATAAGAGACACTGTGTACACTCAGAGACTGGAGGAAGCGAAGAGTTGGGAGGCTGAAAGCCGGGCAGAAAATTACTAATAGAAGAGAGAGATAATGAATAGGCAGGCCAGGCATTCATGGGGAAAAATCCATTTTGTTACCACGCGAAATTAGGTGGCGGAAAGGAGTTTGCTAATTGTTCTCCTCGTGTAGCAACCAGGACAGAGGCAGGGGCGTGCTCTTCCATTCATTTCCCGAGTAATTGTGGGGGGTTGCTGGCCGAGAGTCCCGGGCGATTTGCCTGCGGCCCTTCCATTTTCCTGCGGCGTGTTTAATTGTTGCTAATACACCTCCTAATGAAGCTAATGAGGGGGGCGCTGTCTGGCTATCTGCCCTGGAGTTGAGTGACATGCACGAAAGGGTTTCCTCACCTATTCCCCCAAGATGAGAAGTGAACTTCTCCAACGCCTGTTCTCAAAGACCTTGTCCCCCTTTTAAGGGACAATACTCAGGTACCGGGAGTTGGAGCCTGTGTCTACAGATCCCTAGGAAGAGCGACTAGAACTGGTTGGGCTGGCCCACAGAATGTCTCTTAAAGCAAGAGGCCACGCCTCCCTCCCCCCAGTTCTTAAGGAGGAATCTCAACTGAAGAATGAGTCAGGCCCAGTGGACTCTATTGGATCTGGAGAGTGTTTAATTCTGTTAACAATTTACCCACCTCTTGCCAAACATGCACTGTGCTACATGCTCTGGGATAAATTCTGTATCTGATTAGAAAGGATGTATACTTTGTTTCACTTAAAGCAACAAATTAGGTACCAGATACTCTACATCATCAATTCTGGGGGAAAAAAAAAAACATTCCACCATTCAGGGAGCTCTCACCTTCTGCTCAACAGCATGACAGTTCGGAGATGCTATGGTGTTGAAATTTCCTTCCACATGTGCCCCTACACAGCCCACGTCCCCATTGTGTTGGTGCCATACAAACTCTGGAGTTGTATGGGGGGGGGAGAGGGGCGGGATTTATGACCTACAGGGGTCAAGGTTCCTTGAGTAATGACCTGTCCTTCTCCTCCTCTTCCCCCTCCAGAAAGACAAACTCAAGCTCCTACCCCACCAGGAAGAGCAGGAAGACTCTACCAAGTTCATTGTCCTCACCTTCCTCTCCATCGCCTGCATCGTGGCTGTCCTCCTGGCTTCCAGCCTTGCCTATTGCCTACGCCACAACTCCCACTACAAGCTGAAGGAGAAGTTGTCTGGACTAGGGGGTGACCCCAGTGCAGATGCCACTGAAGCCTACCAGGTAAAAGAAATAAACTTTTCAAAGTGCCCCACTGGGTTTACCCCAAACTTGATTTGGGGGCTGGGGGAGAAGGGCAAATCTGTCCCTCTGCAGTCTTCCCATTAATTCTTAGTTTGGGCTCTTTTATGATGACGATCTGAAACTCCTCGTTAGCATGCATGCAAATACCTCGTAACCACATTTTTTTTTTACGGTTCCATATTAATGTTACACCGTGCTTGGATAGCCTTTGTGTTAGCTGTGAAAGTGGGTTGCTAATTAGACATGTGGAAAAAGTACAATGCATGAATTATGCATTATCTGTTACCTTAATTTGGGCCACTATTAACGAAGCTCACCACGGTTGCGAGATGAGTTGGTTGTGTAGATGTTTGTTTTAAATCGTCGACTTCCTTGGGGTCCTGCAGAAAGGGAATCTCTTGACCCAATCTGGTGCCACCACACCTCTGCTATAATTTGGATAAAGTGAAACCTAACCCTGAGAGATGGAAAGTAAGGTGCCTGTGTCTTCACCAGTCAGCAGGGGCAGTTGTATGCTAGAAACACAGAGACAGGCACCCCAACTTGCCTGGGGGTAGACCAGAAGCCCGGGCGAAGTAGGAGAGGCAGATCCAAAATAGGAGGTATAACCAACATCCCATAGTTTTGTAAGTTGCGCGTAGTGTGTGGTTCACGATTAATGACCTCTTCTATAATGTAACTATCACTTCACTCTTAGCAGCAGTGCAAGCCTAGAATGTGTAGAACGGGAATCGTATTTCCTTATTATAAAATATCATTTCAATCTAATCATTTCCTACTTAGGAGCATAGAACAACTCACTCAATGGCTGCTTCTTTTTTGTTGTTGTTGAATCAATATGCACTTGTGAGACTCTTCTCCCATTCGTTGGATCTCTTGTCTTTTCTAACTACCTGGCTGTGCTATCTAATGTCCTGTCAGTAACTCACAGGTCACAATATGTATAAAGCAAATGGTGTCTGTCCTGTTGTCAAAGTTACCTCAGTGAGCTCTCAGGCTCCCAGGGAACACCCTGACTGTCCAGTAGCCACCCTCAGCTGGCCTGAGCTGGCCTCCCCTTACTTTGTGGCTGTTCTGCCTCTGGCCCATGTGACAAGTTGAGAAGAGTTTATAAAGTCCCTATGCTTAAAGGAGAGGAGGAGGAGACAGCTTTTGCTCCCATTTCAGAATTCTTATCATCATCAGTGAATGGAGAGAGCCTCTGGTCTTCCAAAGCAGGTCACAAGCATGGGCAGGATGATCTTTCTCTTATAAAGAAACGGCAACTTCAAATGCATTGAAGATGGCATTTCAAGCACATAGCACATAGCTTTGCTTCAAAGCCAAAGAAAAACCATGTTTGAAGAAGGAGCCTGGAAAAAAAGTCACATAAACTAGTAAGAATTTACCCAGGAATTCTATTGAGCAACACCATCAATACAGTATGCCAGGTCCTTGGGGCCAAGCTAGTGTCAGAGCATAAATAAATTATCACACTAGTCAGTTCTGTGTATGAGAGACAGAGATCGTATGGACGCAGGTTTTCTAGAAAGCATGGCATCCTTTGATACACTTTGAAATTCAAGTATAAAATATTGATAGAACGAAAGGTTGGACTTGCATGCAGTAACGACTCATTTTTATAGAAATTCGGGTAGAGAAAACGCATACTTATGGCCGAGTTTTGTGATAATTAACAACAACAACGGGGAAAAAAAACTCTTCCTGGTGGCAGCTCTAATTAATAGTATCTGTAATTAAAATCATGTCCTTGCAGCAAGAAAACTGTTTGAATTTCTTAGAGTGACCTTTTTGCGTTCCTCCCGGGGGGCACAGTGGCTAAGTTGATATTGATTTTATAATGAGCTCTGGTTTGTTTCATAAGAAGCTGTAATCCCAACAATAAATGAAATGTGTGCTTTTCTCCAATCCAGATTAATAACAATAATAATAATAAAAAAGGATGGGAAACTTTTCCTTCAAAAATACGATCAAGAAAAAAATCAGAAGGGAAAAATCTTTTGCTGGGCTTACTTCTGAAGTCATTACCAAGTACCTGTTAGCAAGCTACCTTGGTCAGATGAGGTCTGCTTCCTTCCAAGCAGCAGGCTGCTTGCAAGGACCGTGTGCTGGGCAGTCACAGCTCCTTCTAGGATCGGTTTCAGCAGGGCAGGGCAAGCCTCCGCACACGGGGATCACGTGGTTGTCAGTCCGGGGGAGGGGTTTTTTTCTGGGTTCACTGGGGGCTCACAGTTGTGGTTTGCTCAAGAAGCAGTTGTGTGGAAATGTGAGGCAAATGGGGAAGCGTCAGTGGGGCCTCGAGTGCTTTGGGTTTCCCATAGCTGTCTTTGATATGGGAGTTTAAAAATCTTCCTAAATGTCTTATAAAAAAAGAAATACAAACTTGAGGGCCTGTGAGATGGCTCGGGCAGTGCCAACCATGAGGGCTCGAGGTCAGTCCCCAGACACACCACACGGCAGAAGGAGAGGACAAACTGCCACAAGTCATCCTCTGACACCAGCCCCCCCCACAGGATGGCACGCCCCCTTGATAAATAAATGTAATAAAAATAAAGCTATAACTGTGTAGCTATAAATTTCAGGGGAAGGGTCTTCTTGAATTAATGTATCTACTACTAAATCTTTGTGTTTCTGGGGATGTACTTCAGTGGTAGAACAATAGCCTAGCATCGATTTAATTGCCAATTATATGTGTGTGTGTGTGTGTTTGTGTGTGTGAGAGACAGACAGACAGACAGACAGGGAAAGAGAGTGAAACAGACAGACAGACAGAGACAGGAGAGAGTCAGAGAAAGAGGGAGACAGACAGACTGACCCAGAGAGAGATAGGGAAGAGGCAGACAGAAAGAAATGGAGGAAGAGACAGACAGATAGACAGAGATGGGGAGAGAGACAGACAGACAGAGACAAGGGAGAGAGACAGACAGACACAGGGGGAGAGAGAGACAAAGACAGGAGGGAGAGACAGACAGACAGAGGCTGAGAGAGAGACAGATGGACAGAGATAGGGAGGGGAGATAGAGAGAGAGGCAGAGAGGGAGAGATACAAGAGACAGAGAGGGAGAGGGAGGGAGAAAGAGAGAGAGAGAGAGACAGACAGACAGAGAGATAGGGAAAGAGAGAGAAACAGACAGACAGACAGACAGAGACAGGGGAGAGAGAGGGAGAAAGACAGACAGACCCAGAGAGAGATAGGGAAGAGGCAGACAGACAGAAATGGGGGAAGAGACAGATAGACAGAGATGGGGAGAGAGAGACAGACAGACAGACACAGGTAGAGAGAGACAGACAGAGACTGAGAGAGAGACAGACAGACAGAGATGGGGAGGGGAGATAGAGAGAGAGGGAGAGAGACAGAGAGAGAGGTAGAGAGAGACAGAGACAGAGAGACAGAGAAAGAAGGCACCAGATCCCTAGGGGTTAGGGCTGCAGGTGGTTTGTGAGTCACCCAAGGTAGGTGCTGGGAACCAAACTCTGGCCCCCTGGAAGAGCAGGGAGCTCTCTCAAATTCTGATCAACCTCTCTAGCCTCCTGAAAGCCAAATCTTACAGGTTCTTACTTCTGATCTTGTTCAAGGGTCTCAGTCACATCAGATAATTCAGTGAAGCTTAATTTGTCCATGCTTTGAAGTTCTGGGCCTGACAGCTGACATCCGCGTCCAACGATCCCTTTGTGTTCTCACGGACCCTTCCCCATTGTTTCATAAGTGTTGTTTTCCTCCTAAATTCACAGAAAAAAAAAAACATGCTTGGGTTTAAGATGTCCTTCATGATCTAAGAAAAAAAGAAAAGGAAACCCATTTGGTTTACTCCTTTTTTTCCCTCTCTCCCAAGACGGCTTCATACGCTGTGTGTGTGTGTGTGTGTGTGTGTGTGTGTGTGTGTGCGCGCGCGCACGCGCGCACACGCCCACATGTGCGTGCTTACATGCCTGCATGAACACATAGGTGTGTATGCATGCCCACTCCTTGACTGGCACAAAACCATGATGGTCAGCACCAGGGTACCTCTTGTTCTCCCAGGTGTCCTAGTTCTGTGGAAGGTGGATGGGTAAAAACTGTGCCAAAAATAAAGTTGTGAGATGATTAGAAGACATTCTCCCCCCCTTCTCTCTCCGAGTCCCTTTGAATGCTGCATCCATTTCTTGGGGGCTTTGATCATCTCTGAGCAGCCAGTTTAGTATTCTGCTGGCTGGCACTCTCCCTCCCCCCAGGCAGGGGCACAGACTCCCGCAGAATGTTGGGCAACTTCTCTTTTGATGGTTTATTTCACAATACCCAGCAGGTTTCCTTGTGTACTTGGAGGCCTTTGGAACCAAACCCAGAGGAAGGCGAGCGTGCGTGCATGCGTCAGGCTTTGGGACCACCTACAAGCAGAGTCACTAAGTGTACATCGTGGCTGCCGTGGCTCCCATTAGCCAGTGATTATTAATGTAATGATAGAACCCTGTGATCACCGCCCTTTGGGGGAGATTTGTGCACTTGTGCTGAAGCCCTCCCCCCTCCCGCCCCCCGCAGCTCACCTCTGCTGAGGGAAACCGAGTTCCACAGGAGAGGACAGGTGACATATTGGTTCATCCCCCTGTGAATTAGTAGACCCTTCTTTGTCTAGGCGAGTTCAGTCTTCTGTCATTGGTGTAATCACTAATCGTGCAAATGGGGAAAGGGACCGGGTGCCTCCTAATTAAGGCAGCAACACCGAATTTCCCCCCAGATGCCCTTCATTCCACCCCACGTTTCAGGAAAGCCTCCTCCATTTGACTTGGCAATGTGTCTTGAGACAGCCGTCCTGGCTTTGTGAGTAAACTTTCAGGTTGAAATCATTATTTTGTTTTGTTCAGATATCCCAGGAGCAAAACCTCTCGTGCTACAAAATTAGACAGACCCTCTTGACATGTAAATGTTGTTAGGGACAGTTCTGTCTGCTGAACAGCCAACCCTGAGAACTGAAGTGTTTCTATTTTACTTTTGCAAAAGTTCC